AATAAGAATATTGTTCTACCTCTAGTCAGACTGTCATGCAAGTTAGCAAAAAGTAGTCTGCTTTATTTTTTAAGCCAAGTTAATCATAGTAATATTTAAGAAAACTTTCATTTTTATTTAATATGATCTAAGACTCCTTCCATTTTGAAATGGGAGTCCAAGAAAAAGAATTTCTTTTCTTTTTTTTTTTGGCCTTATTCTTGAGACTTCTAGGACTTTAAAATTCAGAACATGACCAAAGAAAATCTATGTAAGGCTAAAATTACTAGTCAGTGTGAACATTATAAAAATGTAAGTAAAAATAAATTTAAAAGTGATATGAGTACATCGAATTGGTTGAAACATAAAATCCCACAGAGCAGTATTTGTGGACTGCTGCAGGAAATCCACATCAAAGTACATTATTTCATGTGGAGAGAATCTTACTGAAATTATAAAGTACTCCTACGGCAAAAAGAAAAGAACAACCCACAGCTTTATAGCAGCAGCCCTCGAAACTGCGCACATCTCAAAATAAATCCCTCACACTTTCCGAGGGACAGCTCGCGCTAATCCAAGGTCCCCAAACATCTGGGCACTACTTGGAATTGCCCTGAGCATCCTGGCCAAAGCGACAGAAACGCGAGCTGCAACAGGGCGTGGAAATGGTCCAGAGATGCTGCCTTCGAAGCATTTCTGGTTTCATTTGGTCTCAAAACGCTCCAGTCTAATAGGGAGACCCAAAAAGGATGGGTATCAAGAGCTTTCGATTGCAGATTAGGGAATACGTGACGCTCAAAAACAATCAGGGGGCTGGGAGCATGGGACGGCAGTGCAAATGGAGTGTTTCCCAGCTCCCAAGTCAACTTCTCATACAACGCTACACTGCGCAGGTGCAGAGCAGTCAGACCGGCTCGCTGTCAGAGACCTGTAGGAAATATCTGAATACATTGACCTTTTCCTTGCAGAGTTTAGGTGAGATTCCTACCAATCACTTGCTGCTAAGGAAAATATTGAGATGGCTCTACAGGCTTAATCTTTATAGGAGAAGAAGAAAAGGCTGTAGGCGGATGTATAGGAAAAAGGTGATTAAATATCGCGTCGTTTCTGTTCTAAGAGAAACCCAGATTATAAGTAAACAGCAAAATACAAGACAGATAATAGGAAGAAAGGATCAGGGAGAGAGGGAGAGAGGGAGGGATGGAGGAAGAGAGGGAGAGGGGTGGGGGAGAGAGAGAGAGTTGTCAAATGGAAAGGGGATGAAGAAAAGGAGGGAGAAGACGGATTGGCCAGAAAGGAGACGGAAAAAAAAGAATGGAGAAGTGTTCTGCGCATGCACCAACTCGACGCAAGGAATAGAGACATTATGTACTGCAAACATGGACCAATAAAGAAAAAAGAAAAAGGCTACTATTCCAGGGACAGGAAAAATGTTCACGACTGTAATCAGGTCGACTTTTTAAAAAATTTAATCTTCATTGGTGCATGTTTGCAGTGCGTAATGATTCATTCCCCCTGGGGGTTGGCGCAGGCGCATTGCGCATCTTCATTGGTCTTATCTCTCTTTCCCCCTCCTCCCTCCTTGGCTTGGTGCTCTTCCCGTTTGTAGAAGACCCATCTTCCTGCTTCCTATTGTCTATCTTTTATTTTGCTCTCTAACGTACTCCTACTTTGGGTTTAAGCTGTGTGTCTGATTTATCTCACTAAACATTATGTGCTCAAGGTGCATCCGTTTTCCTGGTCAAGGTCTTAACTTTTTCTGTAAAATATATAGTGCTACACATCAGCAACGTTGTGATGAAGATTAAATAATAGTGATATTGGTGAAACAATGGCACATGGTCTGGAAACAGAACGGATCTACTGTTGCTGTTGTGGTTTTCATACTTATGTGAATCATTTAGTTTAGCATATGGCCTAACATTTTGAAATTTGAAGGAGACAGGGTTAACAAAATGAAGATAAAGACTTCTTACATGATTCCCAGGTAAGAATAGAGTTCGTATTTGCCGAGAAGGAATAGGAGCACAGCATACTAGAACTGTTTCACCTGTAGATGTATACAGACTGCTCTGTGTGTACTCAGAAGCTCTTTTCCTTTATCAAAAAAACAAATGTACTCTGAGAAAAAATCAAATTTTTAGAGAAACGATATTACAAGGAAAACCATGATGAATTAAAGTCAAAGCAAAGCCATATTGAGAAAATAAGTGTGTGTTTTAAGCAAGACACTTAAGCTAATGATTTCAACCATCTCACATCGAAATGTCTAACTCCTTATTCACCAGAATGAAATACACTTTCTTATCTTATTAGCAGGTTTCTAATAAAACAAAAATCAGTTGGGGCTTAAGGACAATATCCTGCCTTAGACCTAAAGATTTCACTATGATATTCTTTTTTATATGGTTGCCACACATAGACCCTCAGTACAGCATTACGAACAGCTTCTAAAATAATAGAAATACACTATTTTAACTATACTACGGAAGTATTTTAGTAGCATAGTTTAAATATGTCTGAAACATTTTACGATAAATTCATACATCCCACCCATCTACAAGTATTCATTTTCTCTTAAAATAGTAGTGTCGATAGACACCAACCTATCTACATCCTTTTTGTCTAATTCCCTTCAAATCACAAACATAGTCAGCTATTATTTGATTATCATTGCTGATCTTAAATGAGCACAGTAAAAAAAGATTGTTTTCATGAGTCTGTAGCTACACTTTTCAGAAACTGCACAGCCATTTTGGAAAAACAAAAACTGAAATGCAGTAACTGAACTCTTGCAGCCACAGTTCTGTATTATTAGCACTCAAACTTGCAGAAATCTGTTGCAACATGTGTACAAGTTTTTATTTTTAAACTTGTATAGTTTTATGCCACAACTTTCTTTTCTGTTTAAGGTACTGAAATTAGAGGCTCTCCAAGTCTAACAATCTGCAAACCTGAAATCCAAGGCTATCTGAAACCCAACACGTTTTCTACAGTCCATTTTGATGAGCAACCTGCCAATACTGTGAAGTTATTGTCAACCCCTGGGGCACAGGCATTTGCACAGAGATGCAGGCCTTGCCTGTAAACGTGGGCATGTCTCTGAGCACACAGGATATGTGCAGTCTTTGGCGTGTGCTCCATGTCACTTAAAAATTCTTAACTTTGTTTTTCTTTGCCCCCAGCCCTACCCTGCTTCTTCACACCTAGTACTGGGGCCTTCTCGCTGAGCTATGCCCCCTTTTCTATTTCGTATTCTCTAAGTCACTAAGATGCCCCAACTGGGCTACTTGTGAGCCTCCTGCCTCAGCCTCCCACAATGCTGGAATTAGAGGTGTGTGCCACCACAGCCAGCTTTTTTTCAAACAATTTTTATTAGTGTATGTTTGAGATATATAGTGATTACATTCGGCTTGGAGGACTGGTACACACGAATAGCATACCTTGATCTACTCCCTCTATCCGCCTTTCCCTCCACTTTTCCCTCTGTTCCACACTCCCTTCTCTTCAGAGACTACCTCCCTGTTTCTTAGCATGGCACTTTTACTTCACTCTTTAACTTACTTATATTTTGAGTCTCTCATATTAAAGAAACCATGCAATTTTTAATCCTTTGTGGATTTTCTTCACTTAGTGTTGTGGTTTCAAGATTCATCTATTTTCTAACAAGTGACTCAAATCTGTCCTTCTGTATGGCGGAGGAGTACTCCATTGTGTAAATATACCACGTTTTAAGATCCATTCATCTCTTGAAGGACATACAGGTCACTACCGTGATTTAGCTACAGTGAATTGTGCTGCTATAAACATAGCTTTGCATGGATCACTGTAATATGATGTCTTTAACTCTTTGGGCAAGACTCTCAGAATGGGAATAGCTGTGTCAAACGGAATTTCTGTTTTTCAGGTTTTGCTGTTTTTTGGTCGTTGTTTTTGTTGTTTTGTTTTGAGCAATCTCCATACTGATTTCTTATTTTAGTGTTTTATTTTATTTTTTTATCT